ACACACACACACACACACACACACACACACACACACACACACACACAGACACGGTGGCACGCTGACACCCCACACATGATATTGTATTTTATAGAAATCTTTTTCCACGTAATATATCATGAACAGTTTTTTTTTTTTAAGATTTTATTTATTTGAGAGAGAGAGAGCATGAGAGGAGGGAGGGTCAGAGGGAGAGGCAGACTCCCCGCTGAGCAGGGAGCCCGATGCGGGGCTCAATCATGGGACCCCAGGATCGTGACCTGAGCTAAAGGTAGTCACTTAACCAACTGAGCCACCCAGGTGCCCTCATGAACAGTTTCTTGTCTCATCAAATATTCTTGTAGCCCTTGGATTATGGTGCTACATGGTGTTTCATCCTTATCAGACACGCAGCTTATTCTCCAGCTGAAATTATTTTATTTTTTTAAAGATTTGTTATTTTGTTTTATTTTATTTTTTAAAAGATTTTTAAATTTATTTATTTGACAGAGAGAGACACAGAGAGAGAGGGAACACAAGCAGGTGGAGTGGGAGAGGGAGAAATAGGCTCTCTGCTGAGCAGGCAGCCCGATGCGGGGCTCGATCTCAGGACCGTGGGATCATGACCTGAGCCGAAGGCAGACGCTTAATGACTGAGCCACCCAGGCGCCCCTTATTTGTTATTTTAGAGAGAGAGAGCATGAGCAGGAAGGGCAGAGGGAGAGGGAGAGAAAGTCTCCAGCAGACGCCACACTGAACACAGAGCCTGTCGTGGGGCTCGATCTCATGACCCTGAGATCACCCCCTGAGCTGAAACCAAGAGTCAGATGCTTAACCGACTGAGCCACACAGGCGCCCCTCCAGCTGAAATTATTAATGGCTTCTTTTTTTTTTAAGATTTTATTTATTTATTTATTTGAGAGTGAGAGAAACAGCATGGGGGGGGAGGGTCAGAGGGAGAAGCAGGGGGAAGGTCAGAGGGAGAAGCAGGCTCCCTGCTGAGCCAGGACACCGTTGCGGGACTCGATCCCAGGACTCCGCATCACGACCTGAGCTGAAGGCAGTCGCCCAACAAACTAGAGCCACCCAGGTGCCCTATTAATGGTTTTCTTTCTGTGCTGAGAGTGTCTCTTTCTCCTGATGAAGAAACATGGTAAACAAACACTGGGTCTAAAGTAAGGACAAGGAAGACGGTTACTAACGGGAACATGAAGTATTCTGGGACTTGAAATGGAGACTCCTCTTCTGCAGTGCCTTTTGTATTGAATTGTTTTTCCCATGGCAGGACTATGGCGACCCAGGAAGCCGCTCCAGACGGCCAGTCAGAGGAGAGCAGTGCTTTGGACTTGCCACCAGTTGATGACATAAGAGATTATGTGCTGCAGAGACCCCACCAGGAGGCCGACAGCGAGGTGTTTAGTTCTGTGGAAACCCTTTCTCTTCCTTCCTCTTCTGATGTGGATTCAGGTAAGAAGCAGAGTTCAAAACAAGCTAACATTGACACACACACACACACACACACACACACACACACACTCACACACACTCTACATACGGGTATGTGTTTGTTTCTTTCCCTTCCCGTAGCGCCTCTCTGAGGAATGGCCCATTGTCTGGAGTAGAAAACATCTTATCTAAGCACTGTGGGGAGAGACTTCAAAGGACAAGCTCCCTGGTGTAACCATGACAGGGAGCTGTTTCCTGGAGACCTTTTTTGTCTCAGTCCCTTTCTAATCTCCGTCCAGCTGCATTCAGAGGCTCAACAGGGAGAGGGTGGAAGTGTTTTTTGTTTTGTTCTTTGAAAACTTCAGAAAGTGGCAATGTGGGCCTGTTTTATGTTATAGGTGATAGTAACAGGGATTTTAGTGTTCCTTGTATGAAGTATGCTCTGCATTTGGGGAACAACTTTTCTACGAGTTTCCCTGGCAGAATTGCTAAAAAGTCTATCACTTAAGCTTACTGATGATTCCTTGACGTAGTTAGTGACCATCTCTGGTTGCAAAGCCCTTGTCTTCCCCGTTCGTTGCCCAGTCCAGACCCGGAGGTCCACGGACATGGACTCAGAGCTCTGCCACTTACTGGCTATGGGACTTGGGGGGACATTTCTTAACAGTTTTGAGCTCTGTGTACTTGACATCATCACTTAGACTTCTGTTAGACTTCTTAAATTTGATACATCCTAAACCAGATTGCTAATTCCTCTCCCCCCTTCCCAGTTCCTTCCCCCTCATATACAGACACCTGTTCTTTGAGGCTTTCTCATCTCAGAAAAGCACTTTTATCCATCTGTTCACTTAGGCCCAAACCTAGGAGTCCTTCTCAACCTCTCTCATGTTCGGTCCCTCACTGTCAGCTCCACCGAATAAATCTAGAACCTAAAGAGTTTTGCCATCTCCACGGCCACCACCCTGGTGTGAGCCACTGTTGTCTGCTTCTGGATTATTGTTAGGTCTCCTAACCACCTCTTTCCATACCTGCCCTTGTCCTCCTACAGTTTCTTCTCAACACAGCCACCAGAAGATCCTTTTAAAATACAAATCAGATCATGTTAGTCCTTGGCGCAAAGCTCCCATGGCTTCTCATCTGTCTCAGAGCAAAAGCCCACGTCCTTAGCTGGCGCCCATGCCCTCTGGGCCCTGGACCTGCCGCCTCTCTAACCATCTCCTTACCCTCTCCGGGCTGGGCCTGCGCCACACCACGTGTGTGTCGCCCTTCACGGAGGCCCACCCTTGCCTCCCATATCTAAGAGCCAGCCCCCCTCCCTCCTGCTGAGGTTCTTCTGTCATCCCCTACCCCGGCTTTATTCTTCTCCATAGCAGCAAGACCACTGGGCACCCTAGGTAGGACTGTTAATTTCTTTGTCTCCCTGCGTTGGAATATAAACTCCAGGATAGCACGTACTCAATAAGTACTTGTACGAGGAAGGAATGAGTAAATGTTAACTGCCATTATTATTTCATTAAGAGATATACCTGTATAGATTTGGGGCTGAACTTGATCCTAACATAAAACTCTGTTCTCCTCTCTACTCCCCACATGTGTAGCTTAAGGCTGGTTATGAGTGACTTTGGAACGTTCCATGTATAAGGAATGGGAGTCACAAGCGGCACTGAATTAGCTGAAGCCTGAATTTAGCCCCATAGCATGATCAGTGTTGGAGGGAGGAGATTGTCAGATTGCCTCTGGCTTCCAGAAGAAAAGTCAAATTGTATAACTGCTGGAGACATGACCAAACTGTCAGCCATCAATGTACGCAAAGAAAGTTATCGACTCATGTGCAGTGGTATGAATCCTGTGCCATTTCTGTCAAGATAGAACACAAGAGGCTTATAATGGGTGAGTCACTCTGGGCCTGTGCCCTTTGGGGTCTCAACTCTCATTTCTCTCCTTCCTGCTTGGGCCTCCGCCCCATCCCTGGGTGCTGGAGGTCTTCACACATCACCCATCAAAGCCTCCCAAAAAACAGTTTGAAACTTAGACTGAAAGACGAATGACTAACCGTAGCTTCAAGTGTTGGCTTTTCCAGGAAGCTCTTTGTTTAAGAGGACCTAGCCCTAAAAGAATGGTTTAATTTCAGGAATCAAGGACAGGTAGAAGAGAGATTTGGAGGCTCTTTCTGATGTTCCTAAAAGGCAGTCCTAAACTCTGGGGGAAGTCACTGTCCTAACTGCCCAGCCTCATTTACTCTGGGCTGATCATCCTCCATCTCCAGTTTCTCAAAACTGTCCAGGGTCTTGAGTTTTGATCTTCTGTTTATAAGTAGGATCCACTTTCCTTCCTTTCACTGTGTTCATGAGTAGGTGTACTTACAGGTTCCCTCCCCCGTAGCCCTCCAGCAGATTTTGCCCACATTTTAATCTAGTTCTGATAACTCTGGATCTGTTGTTTACTCAGAGACACATCGGTCTCTCTTGGTGCTCTGATGGCTACTGTTCGTTCTATTTCAGATTCTTAACATATCCCACTCCCGGGCCAACCTGCATTCTTGGTTTGCTTGTATGCTATTGTGTGTTGTTAGGAAGTTGATCTTCTAGAGGTTGTGAATACAGTCAGAGGTTTCCAGCTGACAGTCACCATTGGGCTGTGCCCACCCTCGTACTCGCTCACTGTTGGCTACACTCAGGTAGCTTGTGTTTGGCTCATCATATGGTTGACTATCTCAAGAACTGGTTGAGTATGGTAGGTTGCTTATAGTGGAACAGAGGTCTGAGGGTGAAGCCAGGATCTGGCTTCTCTGGCTGCTGGGTGAAATAGGAGCCAGGAGTTGACCTTTAAGATTCAGTCATGGGCGGGCACCTGGTGGCTCAGTCGGTTATGCATCTGCCTTCGGCTCAGGTCATGATTCCAGAGTCCCAGAGTCGAGTGCTGTGTCAGGCTCTCTGCTCAGCGGGGAGTCTGCTTCTCCCTCTGCCCCTCCCCCTGCTCTCGCTCTTTCTCTCTCTTGCTCTCTCTCAAAAATAAATAAATAATCTAAAAAAAAAAAAAGATTCAGGGCGCCTGGGTGGCTCAGTTGGTTAAGCAACTGCCTTCGGCTCAGGTCATGATCCTCGAGTCCCGGGATCGAGTTCCGCATCGGTCTCCCTGCTCAGCAGGGAGTCTGCTTCTCCCTCTGACCCTCCCCCCTCTCATGTGCTCTCTCGCTCTCATTCTCTCTCTCAAATAAATAAATAAAATCTTAAAAAAAAAAAAGATTCAGTCAAATTAGCCCAATTGTCAAAACCTACGGTCGAAATTCAGACACACAGTTAGCAAGGGGGTGGGACCCACCGTGGTGGTATAGAATAGCCCACTGGTAGCCCAGCACAGCCCTGCAAGGGGTAACACCGCGAGAGTACCCAGAAATCCCGGCAGGTGGCAGTCCGTGTGCAGATGGCTTATCAGTGAGTGGTGAGGTCCCAACTTCAAGGTTGGAGTCAGCATCACAGTTGTAAACCCTGGAAGAGTAGCAGGCAAGGGACGAGTGGGCTCAGTTTTAGGAGATGGCAGGGACCACTGAAGAGGCCAGGTTGTAAGGAAAGGGACCCAAGCTGAAGCCTCACTTTTGTAAAGGATCCCCCATTTCACTGTGCAGCTGGCCTCTGGCTTTCGCCATCACTCACCTGCTCTTTCCAGTGAGGCTTTTTGAAGGGCTTGCCTGTCTTCCATTCTACTTCTTCTTACAGTTGTTCCTCATTCCTGGGCACATGTCCTCCACCCCCGCTACGCGCTAGGACTAGGCCTGCCCTTGCTCCCATGCCAGTGATCTTCCCCAGGAGCTAAACCTTATGGATTTTCTTTCTTTTAAAGATTTATTTATTTATTTGAGGGGCGCCTGGGTGGCTTAATCATTGGGTGTCTGCCTTGGGCTCAGGTCATGGTTCCAGGGTCCTGGGATCGAGCCCCGCATCGGGCTCCCTGCTCTGCAGGGAGCCTGCTTCTCCCTCTCCAACTCCCCCTACTGTGTTCCCTCTCTCGCTGTCTCTCTGTCAAATAAATAAAAGATTTATTTATTTATTTGCGAGAGCGCGTGTGTGTGTACATAAGCATGCATATGTGAGTGGGGGGAGGGGCAGAGGGAGGGAATCTCAAGCAGACTCGCCACTGAGCTCGGAGCCCAACGAGGGGCTCAGTCTGACGATCCTGAGGTCACGACCTGAGCTGAAATCAAGAGTCGGATGCTTATCCTAGCGAGCTACCCAGGTGCCCCCCTAATGGATACTTCCCTGTCCTTATCTTGTATGCTCAACTACCATATCACTGTTCATGCCCTGGAGGAGGATATTAGTAGCAAGGGACATGAGACTTAAGAGCACTTTCTAGGAAACTCAATGAGTTGATAAGAATCTGAGAGTATTAGTCAGAAAAACCTGAAAGCCTTGGTCATTTCAGTCTGGGTACCCAAAGGCAGGCGAGACTGGGCTGTATCTGTCCACATAAACACAGCTCATCTGTCTTGAACTGGTGGTGGCTTGGGCGAGGGTTGTCTGACCACTCCTTATGAAGTGATGATAGAACAAACAACTTGTCCCCTAAGCCAGGCACAGGAGCATGAAACTCCCTCCCTCTGCCCTTCTTGGTGAGATCCGGCAAAAGACCACACTTGCCAAAAAGGTCTTCCTGAAACCGCACTTCTGTCACATTCCTCTGTTTAAATCCCTTGTAGATGTGTGTAATCTCATGTCCCGGGCGTTTGTTCAAAATATTTAACGACAATTCAGCAGGATTGCAATATTTTAATAACTAGCAAGGCCCCAGGCAACGTACAGGTGCATGCCACAGGCCCCTGCCAGTGGGTGTCTAACTACCCATTAACATGGACCTGCCACTCCTGTTGGGCTGGTTTTTATGCAGAGTCAGGCCTTAATGCCTCAGCTGCATTGTTCTGGTCCTTGAAATGTGTTCCTTCCTCCCTGGTCAACTCCAGGCCGCTCCAGAGACTGCCGAACTGAGTCCAGTTGAGCCTGTCAGTTAATCTCCAATACACACTT